TTTTCCCTCTCCTTTTTTCCTTTTCCTTTTCCTTTTCCTTTTCCTTTTCCTTTTCCTTTTCCTTTTCCCTTTTCCCTTTTCCCTTTTCCCTTTTCCTTTTCTCTTCTTTTTTGTCCCAAGAGGAGCTCAGAGACAGATATTCCCCTCAGGCCCCACCTCATTTTGGACAGCTCAGACAGGAGTGTAGTGAGCCCAAGCACCTTCTTCAGCCACAAAAGAGAGAGACTGCAGAGAGTCACCCCCTGCCCTGATCCCAAATCTTCCAGGAATGTTGTCTTGCTCCATATGGGCCTTTTCCTGTGTGGGTAGCTGCCATGAATGGGTAATTTAGATCAATGAAAGAGATTTCCATTGTCAAATGTATTAACAGAAGTGGGATTAATATGATGTTGCAAAAGTGAGATTTAACAAAGTTGTGTAGAGGTTCTCCATTACTTAATATATGGGAGAAAAACCCAAAGGAAAATTGAGTTAGAATTGAGCTGGAAGGATTCACACCAAGATCTGAGACCCTCCCATTGAGTACTGAGGTTCAGAATGTACCCCCTTGCTTCCTGAACCCCTGAGGGAGACAGGGTGCAGCTCAAATCCAGTCTTAGTCTCAGATTTGGACAAGGGTTTATGTCTGATGGGACTATCTCCACCACAAAGTTAATAATAATTAGCAGTGAGTACTTACATGGGTTGGTAATTGTACATTACTGTTAAATCAGCCTGTTATCAGCAACTTAATGAGGATTTGTCACCAGTAAGGGATTCCTCCACCTTGGGCAAAGAGGAATCTCAGTCTCAGGTGAAGAATCTCAGTCTCAGGTAAAGAATCTCAGTCTCAGGTGAAGAACTTCAGTCTCAGGTGAAGAATCTCAAATCTGAGAGGTGTCCCTGCTTGAGAAGAGACTTACCTGGTACACAGTCCAGTTGCAATGCAGGGACAACTGCAATTGGACCCATCCAAAGATCCAGTGTTGATGAAAGGTCTCTGCCTCGAGGAGCAACACTGAGGTGTCCCAGCTCGAGAGGAGATCATCCTCGCACCAGGTAATAGCTCAAAGAAGGCTCACTCAGGCTCACTCAGGCTCCACTCAGTTGTGGAGTAAAGTGGCTGACTGAGAGTCAAATTGCAGAAAAGCTGTGAATGAAATTCCTTGTGCACACAACTTGCTTCGTTCCTTGATAAATAAGCCTTGGAAAAGTCTCCTCCTTCATGTGTTGGCCACATAATCAGTGTTCCAATCCCCTGTGCATTGATGCTCACTGTGTCACTGCTCCTTTGTGGCTTTCCTGGAGGAGTTCTTGGCCTGGATATAGCTCAGGCCTTCAATTCCTTTGGATCCTGTACCAAACTCCTGCTGGTTTGGTTACAGGGTGAGTCTGTCACAGCAGACCAGGTAAAATACTTTGCATTGTCTTCGGTGTTCAGATTCTTCCCAATTTTCCAGCTCAACCACGTCTTCCCCGTGTAGCAACCATGACATAGGATTTTTTTACATCTGCAGCATATTTATCCACCTCCACAGCATTGCTGGGCTTGTGAGATCACGGGGTATGAAGAGTCATGGAATGGTTTGGGTTGGAAGGGACTTTAAAGACCATCTCATTCCAAACACTGCCATGGGCAGGGACACCTTCCAATAGACCAGGTTGCTCCAAGCCCTGTCCAGCCTGGCCTTGAACACTTCCAGGGATGGGGCAGCCACAGCTTCTCTGGGCAGCCTGTGCCAGGGCCTCCTCACCCTCTAAGTAAAGAATTTCTTCCCAATATTTGATCTAAATCTCTCTTCTTTCGGTTTAAAGCCATTCCCCTTTGTCCTATCACTATGTCTCCATGGAAAACTCACTCTCCCTGTTTTTATAAGACCTTTTAAGTACTGGAGGGCTGCAAGGAGGCCTCCCCAAATATTCACTCTTTGTCTCATGGCTGTAGCCTGAGTGACTGCAAGGCAGGACCACAGGGACATGGGACAGTTTAGAGGGACCTCAGGAGGACTTTTCCAAGCTGAAGTATCCAGTGACCCTTCCCTGCAGCCCCACCACAATTATAACCACAGTGCACACTGATATCCCCACACTGACCTCCTGCATCCCAGGGCTGTTATTGACAGTCCCATGAAAACAGCAGGGAGAAGTCCTCCCTTCTCTAGCTCCCCCTGGTGAGAAGCAGCTGGATCTCCTGATCCATGTCTCAGGCTGTGATCCAGGATTTGGGCTCTCCTGCCCTCCCAGCCCATCACCTCCTGTGGTACCTGCTTGTATTTCCCTTCTGCCTGTTGATGCTACAAAATCATCAAATCATGTTGGAAAAGACCTCAGGATTGAGTCCAACCATTAACCCAGCACTGTGAAGTCCACCAAGGATTGTAGTATAGGAGATGTAGGGTGAGAAACACCTCCATAGGAAGGATGGAGAAGCCCTGGGACTCACCATCAGGCACTGCTGATTGAAGGAGTGTTGGATCACAGCTCAGGGAAGAGCCTCCAGGCAGCTCCACACCTCTGCAGTCATTCCAGATGTTTCAGGACATCCAAATTATTCCAGCCAGTGCAAGATAAGTCATGGCATTTGGGGGACCTATTGGGTCGTGATGACTTTGGATGAAGGCTCCAGAAAGCACCAGCCCTGAATTCCACTTGACAAACCCTGAGCTTCCTTGCCTACAAACCTAAAATCTGGCAAAGAGCCGACGGAGCAGAGTCAGGGAGACAAAGGACACATTTTCTTCCTGGAAGATTTCAGGCCTTCAAGGGTGAGCACCAAGGAAGTGAATAATTTGTCACTCAATTAATGTCTTGTCCCCTTTTATGAGTGAAATCCTCACCCCCCCTGCTCGCTGAGCTGGGGCTCAGGGCCTGCCTGGCCATGCAGGAGCTGGCAGGGAAATCAAGGTGAGGTTGAGTCTTCCAGAACCTGAAGGGAGCCAACAGAAAGGCTGGAGAGGGACTTTTTACAGGGACATTTAGTGATAGGACAACAGGGAATGGTTTCAAGCTGGAAGAGGGAAAGTTTAGGTTGGATATTGGGAAGGAATTCTTCCCTGGGAGGGTGGGGAGGCCCTGGTACAGGTTGCCCAGAGAAGCTGTGGCTGCCCCATCCCTGGAAGTGTCCAAGGCCAGGCTGGAGCAACCTGGTCTATTGGAAGGTGTCCCTGCCCACAGCAGGGGGTTGGAACTGGAGGATCTTTGAGATCCCTTCCTACCCAAATTGTTTTATAAATCTATGATTGGCTTTGCGGGGCAGCATCAGCATTACCCTGACCCTGCTGGAAATCATAACCCAACATCCCTGTGCCAGAACTGCTGCCAGACCTCTGTAAAATCATCACATGATATTGGGAAGGAGGCATCAGGTTGTGGGTTTGAGAAACCTGCAGAAAACCAGCCTGTGCTGCACAGAAAAGGGAATTCCTCATGTCCTGGAAATAATCATCCTAGGGGGATGTAGTTTTAGGGGTGTCCAGAAGATACAAAGCTGAAGATTGGGTAACTTTAGCCCCAGGCCAGGACTCTGTCAGAGTAGGTGCAGCTTGTGGGGTCAGGAGAGGTGTTTCCCAGCCCCCAGGAGCGATGAAAATACACGTGGGGCGCTTTTTAAAAAGCAGACAGGGCTGGAGTTTCCACCTCTTTTATTAGAAATAAGACACATTCATTTTGTGCTCTGAAAACTGTACAGAAAAAAAAAAATAAAAATTTGACCAACATGGAGAGGAAGGAGAGGAAGGAATGGCAGGGGGGCAGGGCACGGGAAAACAGAATTAACCAGAGGAGCTGAGCAGAGAAAGTCGAATATCAACAGTTTTTAAACAAACATTTATCTCTGTAGTTACATCACATCCTTAATGTCCTGCAAAGGAGTGAATGGGTGGATGGGGAAGGCTGGAGTGAAGAGGGAGAGGTAGGTTGGGCAGAGGAAAGGGGGGGGGAAAAAAGAGAGAAAATAATTAAAACACAGTAGAAAGATATCTGTATGCTAAAATTCATAGTGTGTAATTAGAATAATTACAATATCATACAACCCGGCATCTGAGGGAGGCCTTTGTGCTTTCCTGTTGCAGAGAATAATCTAAAATCGAACAATTATATCACAGTTTTATAAGTAACCACTTTCCCCTCTTTTTGAACTATTTGGATTTATTTTAAGTTTTCCTTTCCATCCTTCACATTCTACAGTTGATGGCACAGGAAATGCCACTGTCCTTAGAGAACACCCAGGTGGCCCAAAGGAAAGTCAAAGCAGATGTTGGCACTCAAAGCAACATCTGCCTGTGGGGGAAGCACAGCTGGGGGTAGTGACTGGTTTGAAATCTTGTATCCAGTGGTAGTTTTCCCCTAAAAACATTTGTTCTTTTTTTAATTAAAAAGATACCCAAACACAGAGTAATAACTCAGAACCCTGTTCAAGTTTTACTGTTTTCTGGCACATTCTGGCCACTCACAACCAGAGGTTTGTCACCACCCACCTCCAAAACTGAGAGAGTTGTTCCAAACATCAGACAGACAAGTGCTGGGAATGATAAAAATAATTTAAAAAGTGAAATCTGCGTGCAAAATGTCAGGGAGGTATTTTTTAATGATAAAAATACCACACAACACTTTTTGGGGTGAAAATGTAGGTATCTTATTTTTTGTAAATAGCCTTGAGAAGTGTTTAAGGAAAGAAAAAAAAATTAAAATTGTTGCTTTGTTTTCATGGAGGAATGAAAAGACAGGATGTTATGGTGAGGGGTGTCCTGCTCTCCTGATCAGCTCCTTCGTGTAGGACCACAAACCTGCTGGCTCTGGGCAGTGGGGAGGGAGAAGAAAAGGCAACCAGGGGAAAAATATCCGCAGCCCAAACTGAATGAAACAAAGGAAAACACTATGTGTGTTCCCACCATCCCAAACTTTCCATGGAGCAACTTGCCTTCCACCTTCAGCAGGTGGCATCCTCACCCCATGCCTGGCACAGAAAGGCATTTGAAATGACAAGAGCCAAAGAAAAGAAAGGTCTCGGGTTTCAAGTTCTCTTTTTATTGAAGAAAAGAAAAGAAGAAGGAAAAAAATAGATTATTTTGTTTGTTTTTTTTTTTTTGTTTCCAAGTGGACGTTATTCGTGTTGTCAGTTTGTCTCAATGTCCTAAGGCAACGTCTCTGTATTCCAATATCTCCAGGTACATTGGCAGGTCTGTCTTTCCCTCTTTCTCTCTCTGCCTTCCAGGGAGGGAGGGGCAGCTTGGAATAAATCTGAAGTCCCAAAGCAAGGAAAAATAACAGAAAAGTAAACAAACAAAAAAAAAAAAAAAAGGATGAGGCTAAAGGACCTTTGCAAGGCCCTGGTGCTGAGTTTATCTATTTAACAGTCAATGAAACGACCTACATTCCTCTGGTTGGTCTGTTTTCCAACACCTTCCACCCTCTCCCTGGAGGTGGGGCGAGGATTTGGAGCTGGTCCTGTGCTCCTGTGCCTGTCCCACTCCCGAGGGACACAACTCCAAGGAGCTCTGCTGCGGAGGGCTGAGAGGAGGAAGCCCCACCTCACCTCGCCACTTCATGCCACCAATTCCCCCTCCAGGCTCCGTGAGGACCTGCCGTGGATGTGCCACAATTCCAGGGCACGGCGTGGCACACGAGTGGGAACGTTTTCTTGGAGCATCCCACCTCCTTCCTTCTCGGATGAGCTGCTGAGGGAGAGGTGGGGGATGAGGATGGGCCCCCCAGGGCCGGGTCTCCCCCGGCCAGGCCACGTCCCCGCGAGGCTCCCGCTCTCGTGGTCCCCAAACAACCCCGATCTTCTTGGCCCTCCGTGGTGGCTGCTGGGCTGCTGGGCCTTCCACACCTCCCGGTGGCAGAGCAGGAAGGCTCTCCTGGTGTGCAGAACCCGAGAGCATCTCGGCAGGGCTCGTCCCCTGCAGCCCCTCCCCACCCTCTTCCTCCTCCTCGCTCTCCTCCAGGCTCTTCTTCTCCAGTCCTACCTGGGAAAGCTCGTGTTGTCCTGAACCTACAGCTACTATACTCTATAAAGTAATATTTCCCCCTCTCTGCTGAGAAACAATACAAAAGTTACTCCATCTTACCAAAGGTTTCAAAAGAAACCAAACACTTCTCTTGCTCAGTTCCGATTTAATTTAATCATTTCTTTAAAACGTGGTTTTTTTGTTTGTTTGTTTGTTTGTTTGTTTCTTTTTTTTGTTTGTTTCGTTTGTTTTCCGGAAAAAAAAAAGTCCTTTTTCTTCCCTTTCTGCTCAGACCTCTGTCTGAAGGTCAATAATGTCTTGTCCCACCAAGGGGATGGTGGCCCCTGTTTTCTCCCACTCTACAGTTTTTAGTTCTAGGGGAGACTGTGCCACGGGTTCCATGTCCTTTTTAACCCATGATGGTGGGGACTGGACTTTCCTGATGCCTTCCCAGGGTCTCTTGTTTGGTGTCTGCTGTTTTTCTTGCTGCAAGAGGAGGGAAGTGTAAGAAAGGAGAGAGAGAAAGAAAGATAGGTTAGTACCATGCAACAAATACCATGCTTTTACCTCCTCTTGCATCAAAGACAACTTTTTTCTCTGTAGCTCTTGATCCAAAATAAAGTGGATAAAACTGACACTTGGTGTGCAAATTTGCCATTTTCAGGAAGAAAATGTTGCTTTCTGTCCACTGCTATCTCTATCAACTAATGCCTAGATATTTTGACTTTCAGCTCAAGCTTTTGCCACTTGCAGTTCCACTGAAAAACTGAACATGGTTTTGAAAATTGAAATTGTTTTCCTGCTTTTACAAGGGCATGGAGTGACAGGACAAGGGGGAATGGCTTAAAAATGACAGAGAGCAGGTTTAAGTGGGATATTGGGAAGAAATCCTTCCCTGGGAGGGCAGGGAGGTCCTGGCACTGGTTGCCCAGAGAAGCTGTGGCTGCCCCATCCTTGGAAGTGTCCCAGGCCAGGTTGGATGGGGTTTGGAGCAACCTGGGCTACTGGAAGGTGTCCCTGCCCATGGCAGGGAACACGATGAGCTTTAAGGTCCCTTCCAAGCCAAACCATCCTATGAAATCCAGATTGCAATGAGGTCTTTTTGTACATAACACTGCATCTGATATGGATGCACATTCCTTGTGCAGCACAGCTATTTTTAGGCTCTTTAACTGCAGCAGAACCTGCTCAGTGTCTCACCAGCGAGGCCCTGCTGTTTGATGAGCTCTGGAACTGAAAACACTTCCATCAACTCCACCCCAAGCCTCTCAGGCTTTATTGACTTCTGTCTGCCAAGTCTCCCACAGCATCCCACCATGGATATCGATCCAGGGGATATATTCCAGTGTTTCTGCTGATCTGCACCAGGACAAGGCTCTGGGGAGGTTCTGTAAGATGTGTGTATATGAAGGGGTGTCCGTGGAAAGACTTTAAATGAGTTGTTCCACTAAGTTTCCACCCTTCAGACCATGAGTGATGCTTTTCACAGCTGATCATCCCCACAAAACACTCCAGCACTGGGCAAGGAAAGGCTCCCCTGACTCGGACAGGGGCACAGAGCCCTTTTCCTGACAGAGGGAAAGTGGCAGCAAGAGGGAAGGGTGGGAGGAAAGCAGCTCCAGGGAGGACTCAGCAAGGAGAGGAGAAGCGTGGGGAGAAGGTTGAGGACACAGACACGATGATTTGCAGCCCAGGACGTGCCACAGCTCGATGCTGCCACCAAAATGGATTGATTGAGGGGAGATGAAGCCACACAGGGGCTGTGGGGTCCTGACTGTGCTCCAGGAGGCTGCAGGGATTGTTGGAGCCCTGTAGGAAACCTGAAAGCCCATCTGCCACACGCTAATCCAGCTGCCTCATTTTGTCCTTTCCTAAGACGTTTTTGGAAGCCTGGTGTTTTTCCCACCTCCAAACTGCAGTGCTGACAGAAAAGGTGCTGTAGAATTATCCCTACAGGGGTAGCTTTTGCTGCATCACCCAAGCCACAGATTTCTGCTTTTCCAAACTTTAGCTTTCAATATAAAAATATAATGGGCTTGAAGTTGGTCCTGCCTCCTCCCCACTCCCAGGGAGAAGGCTCTGGGTGAGAGCATCTGGTGGTTAGAGGGTGGTTAATGTACAAACCATCTCAATGGGAAGTGAAAACTGAAATTGTATTTATTTTAAGTCATAATAAACAATTATTAATTTATTAAATAAATAATATCTTAATAAATATGATTTTATCTTTAATTCAAAGAGAGAAAACTAATATTTTTTAAAGTCCTTTGAGAGCTGCTGGTTTGTTTTTGTTGTTTTTTTTTTTTTTTTACTAAAGTTTTGTAAAAGTATTGCTCAGAAGAATGTAAAACACTCCAGTTCTTGAAATCCTCATCTGAGGTTTTCATTCAACTCTCCAATACAGAATTTGCTAATGCTGTTGGTGTTATTCTTACTTTATTCCATTATTTAACACAATGGTGATTAACACTAATGAGATGCAAAAGGTGATAAAATTCTTGACTTATTCCATTATCTTTTTTTTTTTAACTTATTTTAAAATCACTGCTACTAAAAGCTGAACCTATTTATCTCTGTGTGTGTCTTAATGAGACAAGTTTGAGGCTTCCTGAAGGGAAATTTCTACCTACAGTGTTTTTTGCAGACCACTGAATGTCTCAAAAGATGCAACGAGAAGGGACACAAAGAGAGAAAAGCACATATAGAACAAGAAATGGAATGAAAGTAAAGTTTCCCAAAAGGTGAAGAAAAACAACCTTGCTCAGGACAGAGTTTCCAATGAAAAACATTTGGTTTTCTCCCACCATGTAGAAATGCCACAAGTTTTTCAAGTTCCCACTGTCCACAGCTGTGTTATTTAACAGAGCAGCACAAGGGATCTTAGGCATGAAGTCCATAAATAATTCCATTTTTTTCCCCCTCAAATGAAAGCCCTTCTTTGCTGGCATTATTTACAGCCACCTTCAGCAGCAGGTTCTTCTATTCCCAGCCAATCCCTGTTTTCACAGTCTCTCCATCTGCCACATTCCCGACCTTCAGCCTCTCCTTCACGCGGGGAGGGTGCACCCAGCTCTGATCATGCACTGGACGTGATCAGCAAACCTCAGAGCCCTCCTTGTCACGGATTAGTGAGCCAGAGCAGCTGTAAATCCATGCAGGGAACAGAAATTGTGGGAATAAAAACTCCAATAAAACCAATTATAAGTTCACATCTCCATCAGTGGCCTCTGATCAGACCCAGCACCGGGGAACAACACCCAAGGGCTCCAATAATTATTCAGTGGTGATAAAAGCCAGACATTAAATGTTGGGAGTTATTAAGAGGAGAAAAATTAAGAAAGGAAGAGAGAATGAAACAGCAAATATTTTATTGGCAGTGCACCTGCATCCTGAATTTTATGTGCACTCCATGGGCTTCCTGGGAGAAGGATACAAGGGAAGTGATAAAGGTGGTAAGTTTCCAGCCAGGAACAAAGTTATGGAGGAGGAAAGTCCCCCAGACTATGATCTTCCATCCTTAAAAGAGATCATGGATGGATGTCAAAGAGGACTAGGAAATTCCGAGCGGTTTTTGGATAGGAGGAAGGGACCACTGATGGGAGGGATCATCTCTTCCAACATGAGAACTACAGAGCAGGACAGGACACCAAGGAGTGAATCCCAGGAGTTGAGCCTGCACACGGGGCCCAGCCAAACTCCAGACCACATTTCCACAGCTCTCTGCTCATGCTGAAAACTTCCAAACTTATAAAAAACAGGTGGAAACATTCCAAAAAGCAAAATCCACTTGGTACTACAAAGTGAAGTGGCACCATTCTGCATCAGGGGGTCTCTGAGCATGAACTACTGGAGTCTTGGGGATCACTTGAAGATGCACCACCATGTGCTTGCCCAGTTTTTGCATTTTTCCAAGCTTTTCTTTACTCTGTCATGGAAAGGAGGCAGAGACTGGCCACGGGTCCAACCCCATGTGGTGGTTTCCACCCACCTCATCAGTGTGATGTGTTACCTGGCTGTGACTGCAGCAGGCTAAGCAACCCCAAAGATGTCTATTTACAGCTAAAAGATGAAGAAGAGCTCTAGGAAATGAGGAAATGGAGAAGGGAGCCTTGCTTTTACTTTCCCACCTCTCAGAGGAGAATTAGACTTCTCTAATGATGTGAGAGGAGGTGCCATCTCAGGGGTGGGTGCAGAAGGACTTGGTGCCCACTCGGGATAATCAGCCTGGCTGAGCTCTGCCAAGGATGCTGGGAGACAAAGGAAAATCTCCTCTTGGCACCAGGCACCCTGGGAATTGGTAGCAGGCTCCTGGGAACAGCTCCCCTTTTCTTTCCCTCCATATGGAAAAGGTTTTTATGGGGCCTCGGCCACTTGAACAGCACAGAGAAACATCCCCTGGGCTCACGCCTCAGCTCTGGCATTTTCCTCCAGCTCCACTGTGGGGTCTTAGCAATCCTTGCAGACAGGAGGAAAAACTGAACTATGCCCAGAAAAGAAGAAAAAACCTGGAGAGAGAGGGTTGTGTAATCCGGCTGGAAAAGGCGCCGGAGCTGGCGCAGGGCCTGACGCCTCGGAGCCAGCCAGGAATGGCTCCAGCCAGGGGCTGAAAGCAGCAGGGGCTGCTCTGCCAGGAACTCACGGGGACAGAGACAGAGCCATCACTCTGCCCTGACACAGCCCCGGAGCCCCTGGACACTGGGAAGGGGGGGAATGTTTATCAGTTCCTGCCCGGTGCCAGGATGGCGGAGCAGAAGGCTTTGTTGGAGGGGTGGGAAAGGAGGGAGCACCCAGACTCCAAGGTGGGGTAAAACCTGCTGCACAGGGCAGAGTGGAGGTCTTCAGCCCCCTGAGGGTACTCAGAGTCTCCTTCGTTGAGCTGTGATTTAATTTTGGCTGTAAATCTTTAAGGTGGAGGGAGAGGATTTGGGATAAAGGCATTTAAGATGCAGTGCCAACGAAAATCTCCAAATCCCTAAGAAAGACAGAGGCAAAGTGCACTGGGATAATCCACACAGGCCTCTCCTTCTAAAGCTGGTCCTGGTAGACTCCCCAACGAGTCACCTGGTGGTTTTGGAAAGGTCTTGGTGGTGGAGCAGGTAGTTCCCTACCCCGGAGTCTTCAGAGAATCATCCCAGAATCACAGAATGGTTTGGGTGGGAAGGGACCTTAAAGACCATCTAATTCCACCCCTCTGCCGTGGGCAGGGATGCCACACAGTACACAGTTTGCTCCAAGCCCAGCCCAACCTGGCCTTGGACAATTCCAGGAATGGGGCAGCCACAGCTTCTCTGGGTAACCTGTGCCAGGGCCTCAACATCCTCACAGGGAAGAATTTCTTCCCGAAATCCAATCTAACCCTGCTCTCTGTCAGTTTGAAGCCATTCCCCCTCGCCCTGTCACTCCAAGCACTTGTAGAAATTCCCTCTCCATTTCTTTTGGAGCCCCTTCATGCACTGGAAGGTGCTCTAAGGTCTCCCTGAAGCCAC